CGCTTCATGAAGATCCGGAGCGCTTCCATGCGCCTCCTGTTGATTGCGCAGTAGCACTTGGCACTGCATGTATGATCAGAGGCTAAGCCTCATGTATGCTATCTCTCCTCATGTCTAGTTATCTTAGATTACCGATATACTATAGATTACAGACTGAGCTAGAATACCTATAGCAAGACACTATAAGAGTAGATACATTGTTGTAGATTAACTTCACTTTAATCTACTAGGTTCTACACCAGAACTTGCTCATCTTAGCTTAACCGCTTCCTTGTGTGAGACTGCACTTCAAAGTCGCCCCCATACGACTTTGCACGTATCCGCTAGCCCTGCATCTCGACGAGCGCCGTCTTACCGAGATCGCCGGAGGAATCCTTGACGTTCCGTCAAGGCCAGACCACGCTCAGCTTCAGTAGACTCACTCGAGTCGTCGCTGAGAAGACCTATCCTAGTTCGCACACGCCGACCAACAGTCGACGTAACACAAAGGACATAACGGAGAATCAGTCAGCGCAGTGCGAGGCTATGTGAGGCTATGGACGGAGCATGTGGAACGCCTAACACTAGTGTATCGGAACTTAGTAAAATGAAGATGGAAATGAATAAGGTACAGAAAATAAAGCACACTAACTGAGAAGGGACATACAAAAGGGAAAAGGCATGGAAGATAGAAGCTAACTGGATCCGAAAGTCCGGAGATGATTGTGTGATAGGTCCAGGTCCGGAACACGGGATATGACAGTTTACTTTTTCATTACACTGTGTGGTACTGAAATTTCATGAATCTCATTAGAATCATGTACAGCTGTGAGATTGATTATTACAAGCTGGTTGATTCAAGAAATTCTTGTAACAGATGGAATCTACTGATGTGCCCAGCTGCCTGCAGGACAAGATTGCTACTCCCGTCAGCCTGCTTCCACTCTAGATTCTACTTAGCATCCATGCATATCTATCTTTGCCACATACAGACACAAATTATACCCATCTTTGCATATGCCAGTGTCCTGATGTTCACAAGCATGTGTTAAACAAAAATGATGAACTACACAGCATCTAGCAACCACATACTGAATACTTGCAGGTTATATCATTGCCTGACTTAGAATTAATGTAACTGCCAACTCATCAGTCACTTTGGTTGATGAAGATGTAAGGGTGTGACATATGTGCAAAGTGTGTACCCATTGGTCTCAATGGTGCTGTCAGCTAGCGTATAGACCACCATCATTTTGAAACCATTGGCTTCAATAGTATTATGGCATGCTACACATAACATGCTGGCACCAGCAAGGAAGGCGAACAGTGTGATGATGGTGAAATGGGGAGTGAACATCATGGAACTTGTTGTAGTGAGGGAGGTCAAGCCATGGTATGCAGGTATTTTATAGGACATTTTATGAGATTTTTGCTTTGCCTGGATGTTACTTGCTTCACTTCTACTAAAGAAAAGTTGAGTTGGTCGGCACCAAGTTGGCACAAGTCAAAACCTGAGGCTCTGATCATTGCTCCAAATGCCATAATCTTTCTGGCTAGTGAATATTATGAGTCTTTTGCTATTGCAAACAGTGCTAGTTGAATTGAGCTACACCAAATGTGGCTTGTTCAGAACAGGTTTTGACTTTTCATCACACTGCGTGGTACTGAAATTTCACAAATCTCACTAGAATTGCATACAGCTATGAGATTGATTATTATGAACTGGTTAATTCAAGTTAATGAAAGGAATTTCTTGTAACAAATGGAATCTACTCACTGATGTGCTCAGCTACCTGCAGGATAAGATTGCTACTCCCATTGGCCTGCTTCCACTCTAACATCCTGCTTAGCATGAATACATATACACCTTACTTGGACACTATTCATCCCCATCCTGGTATGCGCCATCACCCTGATAACTGCAAGTGTGTCAAAAAATAATAATGAGCTGCACAGCATCTAACAAGCATGTACCAAATACTCACAGGTCACCTTAATGCCCAGCTTAGTATTAGTGTAACTGCCAGCTCACAGGCAATAGTGTCATTATGATCTATTAATTACCTATCATTGTAGAAGGTACATGATACATCCTGGCCTTTGAGTGAAACTGTAAGACAATGATACATCAGTCACAGAGGGTGATATATTACCTACCACCAAAGATCAATATATTGAATTCTATGATACATCATACTACCATGTGAATGATATATTATCAGCCCTAGTAGAAGTGGGCCTGTTTCTGAGATTATGATATATCACTGGTAGGTTTACAAAACGTGATATATAACCTGCTATGATGGTACTCCTACTTGGCACTCTAGCCAGTGGATATATCACCTCCTAGCATGTGGATACATCTGCATGCTAGGAGGTGATATATCACTGGTGGCAGGTCAGTGAAATGTGATATATCACCTGCTGTAGTACTCCTACTCGGCACTCTAGCCAGCGGATATATCACCTCCTGGCACGTGGATGTATCTGCACGCTAGGAGGTGATATATCACCTGCTGTAGTACTCCTACTTGGTACTCTAGCCAGTGGATATATCACCTCCTAATGTGCGGATGCATCTGCACACTAGGAGGTGATAGAGTATTGCTGCAAACTGAACTAAATCAAATTGAAGTGGGAGTTCATTCTAAGTTTGATGGTCGAGGTGAAACAAATTGAAGTGGGAGTTCGTTCTAAGTTTGAATTGCTTATTGTATAGCATTGCACTGTGCAGGCGCCTGTCCTCCAGCACTAAAGCAGTACTGTGGTCTGATGAAAATATGTACAATTATGTTCTAGACCAAAAGGTTTGAGGACAGGCAATGGAGGAGCAGAGTACATTCAGGAGATGTGAGGTTGCTGGAGAACTACTCTAACAAATCACCAAGTCACAGGCCAGAATTAGCATTTCATTTGGCAGTTCATTCCTAGTTCAATGCTTATCACAATGAGGTGTAAACAAATTGAGTTGTATTGAACTTCCTCATTTTCGAACTGAATTGAACTCAGCTTGAGGTCACCTCAGTTCGACAGCAACACTAAGGTGATATTCATGTGTGCCGCCTCCATTGGATTCCCGGATCTCCTGTTTTCTCTCACTATGCTCGCGTGATATATCACCGTATGTCAGCGAAATGTTGATAATATCAACTGTTAGCAGTAGACAATACACATCAAAGTTCATTGATGCAGGCAGGGTTCACAGGGACACAATGACAATCTCAATATTAACAGCTTGGACAGGGTTATGGGAATACTAGTATAGAAGGCAGGCAGGCATGAGTACGAACGAGGCCCATATCAACATCATTTACGAGATTTTTTCCTCAACTCCAAAGCACTAGGCTGTACCGAGTTCCACTTCCTCTTGAGCACTGCTTTTTTTACTTGCTGTGGGCTGGCATCACCGATTTTGTTGGCTTCCTTTGCTCGGGTTGAAGGACGTCCTGAATGCCTAGCCTTAGTTGTGACTGTCTGTTCCAAAGGTATTGAGTTAGCTTCAAGTGGCAAGGAAGGTTTGGGCAAAGAGAGTGGGAAGGTGTTACAGTAACATGGCACGAGTCCCCCGCCAGCAGACCAGCCCTCTGCCACCGCACGGCTATAGACGACACCGGAGCCTCACCAGCTCTATAGACGATACCGGAGCATCACTGGCTCTATGACGATAGATGACGACAGATGATGACAGATGATAAGCGGCAACTGCCGGCTTAGATAAGCGGTCTGAACCGCATATGACGACACATGACGACATAGGTCTAGAAGACCTATTTATGTTATCAAGATAGAAGGCAAGCCTCGTGTTGCCTCATGGACTGATAGAAGATAGAAGGCAAGCCTCGTGCTGCCGCATGTACTGATAGAAGGATACCTCATGGATCCTATCTACGATAGAAGCCCGCCTCATGGACGCTATCTCTGACTCATGTAGATAAGCAGATTAGAACCCAGCTTTAGGCTGAGCTTAGATACGAAGAGTAGCCTTATATAAGGTCGAAGATTACAAGTAGACGTTCCTTACTTTAATCTTACTAGGTTTACCCTTGAACTCCTTGTCCCGCTAAAGCTACCTGCTCGACATCGACTCGTACCTTCAGTGACGCCTCTCACTGTCTGTAAACCCCACTATCATCTCAGCGTAACCCCTCGTTAACCACCACGAGCTACGTTCGAGTACGCAACCTTTGCTTGTCTGTAAAGGCTGACGACTCTCAGCACTCAGTACCACTGTCGTGGTTGTCGCTGTTAGATTATCCTAGTCGCACACGACCGTTTGTCGTAACAGAAGGAAGGCTCAGGCGAGGAGAGTGGGCCGAGTGGCAAGGAAAGCTCAGGTGAAGCAAGTGGCATGGAAGGCTCGGGCAGAGGGAGCAGTAAGGAAGGCTTGGGCGAAGCAAGCGGTAAGGATGGCTCGGGCATAGCGAGTGGTAAGGAAGGCCTGGATGTAGTGAGCAGTAAGGAAGGCTCAGGCGAAGGGAGTAGCAAGGAAAGCAGGGGTAAAGAGAGTGGCAGAGAGGGTTGTGGTGAAGAAACTACTGGGGAAGGCTGGCAAAGATGGAGTTGTGGAGTTGTACTGGTAAGTGACAGATCACATGTGGGCAACAAATTAGCGTTGTTTGAAAATGAAAATTGCGGCAGTGTGAATGGTTCCTGTGCTTGAGGGAGTGCAGTAGACATAGTCAGATTTTCACCAGACACAAACTCCTTTAGCCAGGCAGTGATTGGTGATTCTGGGTGCATTGGAGCTGCCGGATCATAAGAATACAGGTCGGGATGCAGGCGACCTTGCCATCCATTCCATTGTGGCGCAGTGTTGAAGTCAATGTCCTTGAAATGTGCAGGCCTCTGAGGTAGTGGCAGGCTGACATTGGATGCATGCTGATCTAATGGATCATCTAGCGAGATGAGGTCTGTGTCAAATAAAGGAGAAAAACTGCGTCCAGATGTTGAAACAAGGTCAGTGGTTGACAGAGGTGTACTGGGTATAGATGTGGGAACCGAAGTTTTCTTTGAAGACCCACCTATTCATATATCAGTTGTAGACCTACAAACCAACTAAAAATCATACATACCATAGATGTGATCTAGATGTCTTTCGAATGGTAATAAATACTGTTCATGGAAGTTAGGCGTTGACACCTTGAAGCTCAGACCATCTGGGGTTTTGCCATGGTGATAACTGACGAGTTGTGCAAATAAGATCAACCATATGACTAATACGTAAGCCTGAAGATGACATACCTTAATGTCATAATATCACCTTCACACAAAGGATCTGGTCCACCCATGACGAGTGAGTAATGCCATCCACCAGTCAAAGTCGAGAGTTCCTTGAATATCTGACCAAGGACAATTGGCAGCTCTTGAATTGCGCTTTCAAGAAGAAATCAGTTGAAGTCTAACAAATTTTGAGGAATTAGTCACCGGTAAATTTCCTCTTTTGTTCGATCATTCCCCACTGCGACTGAACCTAACTTTCTGGCAGCGTTAATATGTTGAGTCTCAATGCGAACCCCATCCTTCACATCTTCCGACTCCTTTGCAAAACATTCACTCGTGTGGTGCCGGACAGCATGAAGCCTCTGGTCAGGTAATGCAAGCTTGTTTTCCCTGATGTCGTCTGAAACCAATGGCTTGACTTTTGATTCATAGTGAAGTTGTGAGTACACCTTGACTTCTTTCAGGTCTCGGGTGCCTCGTGCGCGCTGTCCCAGCATTGTAGATAGGACTTTGCTCATCAAAGTCCTGCCTGGTCTGGTCTTTCCTTTGGTGTTGTTTCGAAACCACTCCTGCAATTTCTGTGTAATGGCTAATCAGTATTCCAACCTATAATTAGCTTAGCGTCAAGAAATGCACTTTATGGCGATGTTTTATGGCGTCCTTGAGTACCTCAGCAAGTTCTGCATCCAAGTTACTCTGTTTTTCAACATCACTGATAGGAATTATAGCGTTTTCATGGTCCAGCTCGGCAATGATCTCGTTGACAGCCGCATCCAAGTCAAGACTAGATTGGTCGATGCTGGTGTCATTGTCATCAGGTGAGTTTTCTGATCCTATGGGCCAAACTCTCATATGTTCTGGGAACTCACTGAACCACTTGGGGTATAGCAGCTCAAAAAACCGGACCAACTTTTTCTCTTTTTGCATCTGTAGGTACGTTGAAACCTCATTTTGCAGCCACATAAGCTGTTCGGCACTTGTCCATCTCGGAGGGGCCATCTTTACTTGCAATGTTAGTGTGATGTTTGTCTGTATGTTTTTTTTCGCTCACATTTGTCCAGCGCACTTTTGTAGCAGGTTCCTTTCAGGTTCTAGAACAACTTTTTTCAACTTAGCATTATTAAGCTTGATTTTTTTTCAGAGTTGACTAATCATTAATCAATACCAGTCAAATGGCAAGTGGTATAAATACTATTCTCTTCCCTGCAACTTGACCTTGCCACTTTGTTCAGACTTGTGAACATGTCCCAGCCAGATATCCAGTGCCTCCACAATTGCCGCATCCAAATGCTACCCCATCCTTGTTTCACACTCGAACAGTTCATCGAGGCCATTTGGTTGGTTCAGTGTGGTCACGGTAAGCTATTTTCTTTGGTTCTACGTAATGTTTGCTGGTACTGACACACTTTTGCAAAGTTCCTCCATTGTCTCCGCAACCATTTGGTTGGCCCCATCGACCAGAGGGTGAAGAATGCGTACTTCACACACAATCTGGTATGTACAGTGTATCTACTGCATTTTTTCCGCTCACACTACTTATAGGTTCTCACCGGGATGTGATGGACAGTCTGGATGTTAACCCCACAGATGTTGACACCTCCATTGAAGACATTTGGATTGGTGCCACCAATGATGCCACCAACAATGCCACCAACAATATTCTGCCTGGTTCCCAGCCCGAGTATCATTCTAATGAGGGGGAAGAATTGGAGGCTGCTAATGCAAGTGCCGAGACGCTCATCAACATTGACCCTGCCAGTTGGTTTAAGTGGTTCATAACTGTTGGTCATTACGGAGTCGGATTGTTCAGTGACATGTAGGCTCCTTCATTTATTTGATCTGTACCGTCTCTAATGATACCCATTAAGCTATACTGCATGTAAACTCTGCTCTGCAGGCACGACAGTGTATTATTTTACTATGCTCCATGAAGCCCAGGCGCACTTCCAGGATGTTTTCAATGTATGGTGCGGTGAGGCAGCTTGATATCTCTGCACTGTAGATACTCTGTCATTTGTGTATACTAAAAATATTGTGCGATGTGCTCAATGAGCTTTATATACCCTTTTTCCAGTGTGTTGCTGCTAGATCTGGCATCCGATCAACCTTCATGCATAAGTTGGACGTGAGTCTTATAACACTGAACAGGCAGTCATTGATCGATCGGTCCCGGTAACATTTGTGCTCAACCCGGATATGCTCCATAATATTGGTGCACTTGGTACCAAGGTATTTCAGCATGCTAAGAGTGATTGACACCAGCATAGCATGATATATCATGGTGCAAAACACACAACTCTCTGAGACATCCTATGATGTCTGGTGAATTCACATTTTTTCTCGTTCATCCAAATGATTGGTGTGACCGGTGGACATATAGGTAAGTATAGCAAGCAGTACAAGTATTCTGTGCATTGAGATTATTTGTTGTCGAGTACATGGTATTATATATGTAGTATATACAAATCAAATCCATCTGTCCCAAAGTGTGGCTCCCGATGTGTTCAATGATATGGTGAATATGTGAACACTGACTGTACTTACCCATATCATTAATGCCACCAAAATACAAGTCCAAGGAAGATCATTGTAATGCTAGATTGCAAAGCAAACGATCTCACTATGCAAGGTTAGATTTAATCACTATCTCTAGAATCAATGGTCATTGTATTCATTGTGCTCTAGAAACAAGACTACAGAGCAAGCCAAGTCACGAAATCGTTGGCAAAGGCAGTCTCATATGAGCGATGTATGTCTTTCTCGAGACGGTCATAGTGCACAACTTTGCTGATTCATGAAGTCCATCATCTCAAACTTTCACAGCCTCGACATATTATACATTGAGCTTGGCTACAAAGCAGGAGTTCCTGAGCATAATTCTCTCCAGAAATGCTTTCTCACAGTACTCCAACACATTGACACAGAAGGATGGGATGTCATGTCCCCCGAGCTCGAAGATGTGTGCACTTATATGCACAATTTGCACCAGCACATTACCTTGCTGTCAGAGACTGTACAGCTATGTGCACTGGGGATTGGACACAATACTCTATTGCAGCAGTGTGAGAAATTGCTCTGTTTGACAACATGACAGCTTGCTGCAGAAAGGGAACTCATCACTCTTATAGATTGGAGTGGTAATGAAGCCTATGATGAAATTATGTTAGCAGGTTTACTTAGCTGGCAAATGCCATCTGAATGAGTCGCCCATTTGTTATTTTATGGGCTCTTCCAACAACTACTGTAATCATACACAAGATAATTGACCTAGCAGTATTACTCGTCGAACTCATCAACTATGCGCCTCTCGGACATGCCTTTGAGAGGCTGAATTTAGAGGTCTGTCTGCGATGGATGTAGACGTTGATCTGGAGTGCCTTGGTATACGAATGTTTGAACTCTCATTGGCTGCAGGTGCTGCAGGGAATGAACAATGGGGAAAAGACGCTGGCATGCACCAAGACTGATGGAACCCATATGAGGGCCTCCCAGAGCACTGGAATCATGGTGACTGAGATCCGTTGTAGAGACTCATGCCTCTCATTGTGCAATATGGCAGTTTTCACTGGGGAGTACATGGCACGAACTTGTAGCATCACTCTGTGTGCTACCTGCAGCTATCTCTATATGAGGCGCAGCTTTCCCGCGCAACGCGCGCCATGCGCGCGTACCTTTCCCGCGCTTCACGATGTATATGCGCGCGCGCTTTCCCGCGCTTGAGCGCCCTATAGCGCCAGCCATCCGGAAGCATCCATCCACTGTCCACCAAGTTCCCTAGTGCGTATATTTCCATTTCTCACATTTGCTTATCGTTCCATCTTTATTTTTATCATGGACCCTTACTTACATATATCTTTACATACCTTACTCGGTAGCGCTTCGGCTCCGCATGACAGCGCTTAGGCGCCATACTTAAGCGCCAGCAGTACATACTATGACTTACTCACTTACTCTCCCACCAGAACGACAGAGGACTTACTGGTTACTACCCACTATTCACCTAGCAGAACATAGTAGAAATCTATTTGTTTACACCTTGCATCTCCCTTCTCTTGTCTTACATCATATCATCACTTAAGCAAACTCACTCTTACTCTCTCTCGTATCTGTATACACGCGCACGCTTTCCCACGCTTCGCGCCATACACGCGCGCATTCCCGCGCCTTGCGCACACCTGCGCTTTCTCGCGCTTCGCATTGGCCAACCAGTAGCGCTTTCAGCGCATACCTCTAGATCCTTGCTGCACTCGCTTCCCCTTTAGGGTCGAACGCACTTGTCGTCTCAAGTATAGCAGACTAGGCAACGCATGACCTTACAACAATTATAGATACAGTCTGGAGCATTGTTCATGCCTCGCTGTATCATTGAACCTTCACCGTATGCACCAGAATTTGAAGAAGAACTGGATGTGCATTGTTTTCATATCCACGATGGCGGGAAGTGAGCCCGAAGTCATTAAGAAAGAGAAACATACCAAAAAGCCCAAACCACAGCCACGACCACAGCCAAGGAAGGTACATGGAAGTACTTGATGTGCGCAAGGATGAGCATGCTGTTGTGCTTGCCTGCGACTGGGTGCATGATATCTATCAATTTATATGAGGTGACGATGTCAGCGGACGAGCAGGCTTGGCCTGAAATCAAATTACCTTGCACTTTGCTTGACGTGTGAGGCTCTTATTTTGCACCTGAACACATGATTGTTAGTCCATATATCTTATGATGAAGGTGCACACATACACATTTATCCTTTGTCAGACCGCTGAGAGCCCACTCGTCGAACTCGGGAGGAGTGTCTACGGCAGTCGCATTTGCATTCTCGATGAATGCCTCGCTGATGATGTTCATGGCAAATCCTTGGCTGCTTTTCAAGTTGGTAGCCATGTCTTTCAGGCGGCCTGCAGCATTGTGGTTGACTGGCAGGTAGTAAGGTTGGTTCCATTTAGCGATGGAGGCCAATTGCCAGCCAAGGCTGCAGAGGTGCATGAATTGCTGAGAATAATGCACACCATGGACAATGCTGCAGATAAGAAGGATGTATTGGTGCGGTGTGGTAGTGTACAGCCACCAAAACTCAGAATTGCCACACCCTACCGCATCTCAAATTGGAGTCTGGACTCTGCTTAGAAGTAACACCCGGATTCAGCAAAATCTGCCATTTGATTCAACACCATTGTCGACTATGGTTACTAGTCAAAAACAGCGAGCACTCCAGAATTCCAGCAGAATTTCTTTGCGCATAGTGATGCTGCAGGAAGAGTAGTGAGGAATGAGACAAACAATACTCCACAACTGACTCACCAGGAACAGCAGTGCAAGCACACCAGCTTCGAGGCAGAATCCAGTGGTTGTCTTGCAGCTTCTTCTGTTTACTATACAATTCCGCATTCACCCGCCAAACACCAATTTGAAGAGTCTGACTTAGAAGATGCGCACAATGACGAATTCGACTTTTCATCGCTTAATAGCTTCAACAAGGATCTCTACAATACATCTACAGAGTCTCACACACAAAAGCGCCCTGCTGGGGTAAGTTGTATGTCAGTTGAGATTGCTGTGGCGATTCTAACTATGTTCTCATTAGGACAATCCTTTATGTGTATGGAACTCTGATGCCAACCTGTTTTTGCTGGAGTTTCATCGCTTGGAGGGCTGTGGTGATTTTGCACAGGCAACGTGTTTCTGCGGCAAAACAAACCCAACATTTCGGTGCGAAGACTGTCATGGCACAGATCTGATGTGCCATACATGCACTGTCTGTGTACATGAGAGGCAACCACTTCACAGAATGGAGGTATGTGCACTATTTGTGCACGAACAATGATCTGAACAATGTTGCAGTGTTGGAACGGTACTTCATTTCAGGTCACCACATTGAAGGCCTTGGGAGTCTGCTTCCAACTTGGGCATCCCATTGGCATTCGATGTATCAATCCAATGTCTGCATCCAACAATGACTTTGTCATCCTTGACTGCAATGGTGTCCATGAAGTCAGACTTGATTTCTGCGGATGTGAGTCTGCTCAGCCACACATTACCCAATTGCTACGTGTTTGCCTCTTTCCCTCAACTACAACAGACCCTAAATCAGCTGCCACATTTCGTGTGCTGGAATATTTTCAAATGCTGTCCTTCGAATCTAAAGCCTCAGTATGGGAATTTTATAATACCGTTGCTCGCCTCACAGATAACATGGGTATCTGGGTTCCAAAGGTAGGCAACATGTCTTACATCTAAGTTCATCCTCACTGATGGTATCATTCAGGATTGTTATGAGTCTTTCCTCCGAATGATCCGTGAATGGCGCTTCATAATGCAACTGAAACACTGCGGCCAGGGTCATCATCCTGGAGGCATTAAGAAAATAGAAGCAGGCACTTGCACTGTCTTATGCCCTGCCTGTCCCCACCCAAGCAAAAATTTACCTGTTGGGTGGGAAAACACACCACTGGAATTCCAGTAAGAATGTCCAATGAATTTTTAACCTTGATTCTTACCCTCGCCACAGATTTTTGTATGCGTTATTCCTGGCTATTGACGCGAATTTCCGACTCGTTCTCTGTAATGTATCATCAGATGCCATTGATCTCGGACTGAATCGTGGATATGCATTTTTGTTGAAGAGACTGAATACAAGGATATACTGGCTTCATGCAACAGGGTGGGCAATGCCCAGGAGGTCAGTCAAACACAATTGCCCGAGTCACTGCACTGACTATGATTAAATGTAGAAGAGCACATGTTCTAGCCACTCTGCAGTCAGCCTGGCGGATACAAAGGCTTCACATGGACTTGCAGCAACAGGTGCAGAAACCATTGATTGTGCATGGCACAATTTTAAATGCCCTTGTTCAGTTGGCAATTTGCAAAATGGGGAGAGGTGCATTCATTCGTTGATCATATCATAGTCGTGTTTCTGAACCCACTGTTGATAGGTACATCAACATGGATTATCTGTTTTTTTCAAGCATGTGTTCTTCACACAGCGTTCACGTCCTCAACATATCTTACGACATTGCCTGCCAATGGAACAAAAATCTTTGGTCGTGCATGTCAGCATTCCCACACAAATATCATATCAACCACAACGAAAAGATCATTACATTCCTTGTACCTAAATTTCACCTACCAGTGCACATTGCTCATTGTCAAACCAGGTTCTCATTCAACTTTATCAAGGGTGTTGGGCAGACGGATGGCGAAGCTCCGGAGCATGGGTGGGCAGATATTAACCCTCTTGCTACAAGTACTTGCGAGATGGGACCCGGATCCAGGCGAGACACCATCGACGACCACTTTAACGATTGGAATTAGAAGAAAGTCTATGCTATGGGTGAGTGATTATTCTATCGATTAGTGTTCAAAGCTAAGCTACTCCCACAGGCACCATTCTTCTCCGAAAATATAAGGCCACGGTACCTGAGGCTGAAGAACGTGCTCATGATCTTGACAAATTCGAGGCTGCCCTTGATGCAGACCAATTAGCTGGGTGGAGAACAGATATTGAGATGTGGGAGTTGGACTGCTCTTTGCCAAACTCATTCAAAGTGAAGGCGGGGGCTAGTAAGTGCCATTTTGTGCCTAAACATTTATGTCGCTAATGGGTGATTTAACAGTGGTGACCCAGGCTGCCATGCATCTGGCATTATCAAAGACCGAGGCAGAAGAAATCGAGCATGGTGAACACATGTCCCTGGACGATGATGTATCACCATTGGTCCTTATCTCATTGGGTATAGAACTAGAGGGTCAGCAGTGCATATATGCATTATTTGTCACACTCACAGCTGACTCAGCTCTACCTAGATGACGTGTTGAGTTTGAGGGGAAGAGCATCGGACAGCATGCCATGGATACTCAAAAAGCCAAGATACTTCAGCACATCAATATCCTCCACCGCAGAATTGATACCTGGTCCTGTGTACAACTGCTGTACATGCCCTGTGTCTCCCGCCTGTGATCGCCCAATGACATTACCTCTGAGGACAAGGTCCACAAGATTAATCTTTTTCTTCCTTCTTCGCTACCCTCGAGCCTCCCATGTGACGTTCACTTGCTAAGGTATGAATGGGATTTACGTGAAGCCCAAGCAAATGATGCTCTCAGCGACCTCCACACTGTCATCAATATGACCTACCACCTGTACAAGTACAAGGATGCTTTTGTCTGAGGTCAGCACGCAAATACTTGTGCTCAAGGTATTATCCATTTGGCTGAAAGCCAAATCAATGCAATATTGGTCGAGTACACTACTGCCAGAGATGTGCTTGTAATACTTGCATCAAAACTTGGTAAGAATGATGATTGGCAGCGGATATTGAAGCCACTGGACAGGACGAAGGATGCAGTCCCTCTCAAACACGATGAAGGGAAGACAGTCAGCCAACAGAATATTTCATGGATATGGAAAATGGCTGGGGTATCCAACAATCAGGAGGAAGGACTACAGGATTGTAAGTCTTCAATTATAATATGTATACCTTGGTTAATATGCTGTAGCACTACACGTGGAATGGTGTAAGGTGAGGGCTCGAGCTCACCGGTGGGAGGAGGAAGTTCTGCTTTTGCATCAGGAAATGTGCTGTGTTCTTGCTTTCTTTGAGTGGCAGGCTGGATGGTGGGATACGCAAGGCACACAACGCCAATTTGTCTCACATGAGTTCATGGAGGGGGCACTTGCATATGCACATCACCAGGCTACACTACATCACAGAATGTCTACACACTTCAGGTCATTGTGGGAAGCCGTCCCATCATGGACTCCCGCTAGTGTTGCCATGCCTCTCACATATACACCATAGTACAAATATTTCAGTGCATATATGATTTCATTTATGATGGAGCTGTATCATCTATGTCCTATGCTCACACTGCACAATGGTTTCAGGTACAACACCAGGCTGATATATCATGTAATGGAATGCTGGATAGACAGAACGCGGAAGTGATATATCAGCTACATAAGTACCATCACAAGCTTGTAGTAGACAGACTGATATATCAGCTGCTAGAAAGACTGTTACAACAATATGAGTGATGTATCAGCCTGTAGGTCATGGGAAAAGCAAATAGACGCTAATGATATATCAGCCTGCAGGTCACAGGAAAAGCAGATAGGCGCTAATGATAAATCAGTGTGCAGGTAACAAATGAAATAGACATACCTAGTGATATATCAGCCTGTAGGTCATGGGAAAAGCAGATAGGCGCTAATGATAAATCAGCATGCAGGTAACAAACGAAATAGACAGACCTAGCAATACATCAGCCTGCAGGTAACAAACGAAATAGACAGACCTAGTGATATATCAGCCGCTGGAAAGTGTTATAACAACACGAGAGTGATGTATCAGCCTGCCAGTCATGAGAAAATCAACTAGAAAGACAGTGATGTATCAGAGAAAAGCGGACAGACTCAGTCACATGATATACAGGACACACTTTTTTGTCCATGATAGATTCTGAAGGATGTAACTTTATTCTTTTCTTGATCAATGCCTAGCCTTGCTATAGTCATCCTGGCAATGGATCTAATCAATGAGAAACTCACCACTTTCTCTCTGGATATGAAATTCCTCTCGTCAATTCACACTGCCATTGGACCACCTAAAAAAACTTTAAATTGGTACTACGAATTAATGGACATGTCTGAAGTATACAGAATTACAATGGGTAAGTCTTAGTTGTTTTCAGTCATGGTACTAACATATTTCACTATTTAGTTTCACACCTGCATTATAAATTGGCATACTTCAAGCTTGCCAAATAGACAGACAATTGGATTCAGATGGCTGAGGCGCTTGTAAGAGATAAGTTTGGGCACTCATACTTATACTTGTCAGTCACCACTCTGGCTGATCTGGAAGGTGATAATGAACAGGAGTTTAATGATGGCTGAGACTGCATTAAGTTAAATTTGTACACAAACCTAGTGTAGCAAGTTGTGTGGAGTTACAATAAGAATCTCCCTTAACACAAAAACAAGTGAAACTACCATCAGGCCTAGTTAGAGCCTCTGTAGCACTCCCAGCCTAATATTAAACCTGCTGCCAAGGAACTCACAATGAGTATTAAACAGACTCAGGAACAGGTGACCTTGGACTTCAATACTAAGTCCCCTCTTCAATAGCTAAAGTCTAACTTGCAATGACCACCCTGGCTCAGTATAACACACAGATGTATGAGGTCAGGTATCACTGTCAACACCTAAAGTCTCCTCATAAGACTATCCTAAGTCTTCAGTGGACAAAATAAATAACATCTACCTCCAATTCTCCAAATTCCCTGAAGCTCTTGGTGTGGCTATCTGCCTTGATGATGTTGCACTCATCTGACAAGACTTTGATGTCTCTTACCACCCGTGAGTCATTTCACATGTGCATTGATATACATTCTTATCTGCTCAGGATGACAAGGAAGCACCTTGTTTTCCTTTCTGCACGCACACAAATTCCCATTAAATAGCGATGCAGAAGATAATTTCCAAGATGACATACTGGACTGCCCAAGCAATGCACAGCTCAGCAGAAGCTTAGAAAAGAGGTAAGTGTTACTGATTCAAAGAGCCTTGAAGATGTCTACAAGAGTCATCTGGGGACTACATGCATTTTTTAAGCTATTTTGGTCTGTTTCTGAACCATAATCAGGATCAGGGCTCTCTACCAGTATTGACTTGGCTCGTGCCAACCTTAGAAGCACATCCATCAATGCATTAGATTTTGATAACAATAAACTAATGGTGGAAGCCGAGGAGGGCAGTTGGGTTCACAAGAAAAAAGAGATTTCCATCTCTGATTCACTAGTGTCTAGCAAAGCGACAGTAAAGACAGCAGTGGTAGGCACAGTGGATTGTGCAGAGGCTGGCACCTTGTGCTTCAGTACAGCTGGTGCACATTTCTTATTCTTTGCAGCGACTACTTATCATGCATTAGCCAAATCAATTATCAAGAAACAGTGCAGACTTACTAAACAAATAAGCTTTCCTGGCCTTGATGCAAGGATTGTACCTTGTATTCAGCTTTCAGATACAGTTAGCTTCAGATGCAGCACAATGCTTGCATACTTTGGCCACCTTCTCAGTAGAAGACATAGTCATGCATCTACCCAAATGCTAAAATAAATGTGTCAGCATAACCAAACCTCTTCCTAGTTTGCCTCAGGTTTGCTTGAGGTGTGTTGATAATAGGTGAGGGTTGTGCAATTCTTGTTTTGTTCCTAGTTTGGGGGTTATCAAAGTCAAAAACATGCATCACTCAGCATATTTCAAGCATGCACAGTCAAAGTCCAAGAGAAATAGACTTTAATTATGTTATAACAACCACTTGGCTAAGACTGGTTATGATGAGTTTTTGAGACAACCATCCATGGGCAAATGTTCATTCAAGGTATATTTTGATGAAAAAAAAAGTAATTATATAGGTTTCAAACCTGCTTAGTCTAGGATAATCAGATTTTGGATCTATGGTGGCAATAAAATGGCTGAGACTATCTTTGAGAAAACTATTCATGAAAAAATGTCAGTGAATGATTTCATGGAAGAAAAATGTTATCATCAGCATGTTTCAGACCTGCATGGTCTAAGAGAAACAGATTTTGACTCTGATGATCACTGGATCAATTTTATCTTTAGCAGGTTCAAATTTTGAACCCACACAGACAGATTTAGATTCTGTTGTATCAACTGCTTGGCTAAGACCAGTTAGATTCACTTCCAATGAACCCAATGATTCAGAAGTGAGTCCTCAAGGTACATTTATCTGCATTTTGTCAGCTATTTCAATAGCATGATTACTGTTGATTCTTTTATAATGCTCTTATTGCAAAAGACACAGACTACTACTGGGGCTCTTAACTTCAAGACCTGTTTATCTAACAATTTCCCTGAAAAAGTGCTGATGGCAGACCCCCATGGTGGGCCCATAAGTGAAAACTGACATGATCTGTATAATGATGTGTATTTTGCATTAACTTGTGATTCATTATGTTCCACCATTTTGGATTTTATAGAATAAAAACATTGTTATTGGCAGGTTTCAAACCTGCACAGTTGAAGAGAAACAGATTCTAAATCTGATGACAACTTGACTAAGACCAATGAAGATCAATGTCTGAGATGCTGTCTATGAGCAAATATTCAAGACACATATTCTTAGAGAAAAAATGCAACATTCAACAAGTTTCAAACCTGTTGCACTCTGATGGAAACAGATTTTGATTCTGTTATGACAGCCACTTAGCTAAATACAACTGTGATCAGCTTGCAAGCAAACTGACCATGAGCAAATTTCAAGGTGTGTTTTCATAGAAAATGAATTTTATCACTGGCATGTTTCAAACCTGTGCAGTCCAAGAGAAACAGATTTTAACTCTAATGATCACTTGGCAAATTCATCTTTAGCAGGTTTTGAACCCACGCAGACAGATTTAGATTCTGTTGTATTAGCTGCTTGGCTAAGACCAGTTGGATGCACTTTCAGTAAATTCATTCAGAAGTAAATCCTCAAGGCACATTTATCTGTTAGGTTCCCTTCCCAAGCAAGTTGTAGTGCTGCCAGTGAATTGAGGTATGCCAATCAAAATTAGAAATTTCTGACAGAATACTCCAAAATGTCTAACTGTCACCATTTGTATTTGCTTGCACTTGGACCTCTGAGAATCTATATACTGCAAAAAAATTGTGAGCAGGTTTTAAAGAAACAGATTTTGATTCTGTTGCAACATTAACAGGTTTCAAACCTGCATAGTCCAAGAGAGACAGATTTTGACTAAGACCAATTAAGATTGGGGTCTGAGATATTGTTTATGAGCAAATATTCAAGGCATGTTCTGATAGAAAAAATGCAACATTCAATGGGTTTCAAACCTAAGTGCATGAATTCACTGGATGCTGAGCTTTCATATTTTTGTACTGACATCAGGAAATGTTGGGGTGTAATTGCATAGAATAAAAATATTACCATTGGCAGGTTTGAAACCTGCAAAGTACAAGACAAACAGATTTTGACTCTGATGATAACTTGACTAAGGCTAATGAAGATCTATGTCTGAGATACTGTCTATGAGCAGATATTCAAGGCATGTTCTTATGGAAAAAATGCGACACTCAACAGGTTTCAAACCTGTTGCACTCCAATAGAAACAGATTTTGATTCTGTCAGGACAACCACTTGGCTAAAACACAACTCTGATGAGCTTGTAAGCAAATTGCAAATTGCAAATCGACCATGAGCATGTGTCAAGGTGCAGTTTTATAAAAAATGAATTTTATCGTTGGCAGGTTTCAAACCTGCACATTCCAAGAGAAACAGATTTTGACTCTGATAATCACTGGTAATTTCATCTTTAGCAGGTTTTGATCCCACACACACAGAGATTTGAAACAGAGTTGGATTCTGTTATAGCAACTGTTTGACCAACATCAGTTAGATCCATCTTTAAAGAAAACATTCAGAAGTGAATCTGCAAGGCAAGTCTACAGTTCCCTGTCACTCGCAATGTTTTCCCTCAGCTGAACAGATGAATTAAATACAGACTGCAATACAACACTTTCAAAAAGCGAGAGAAGAGCAACATGATGATGAAAGGTCTCAAATACAGTACACTTCAACCCTATACATAAGTGAATAATAGCCGGATGGCTCTTTTGAATCTCAGCCTTGACAGATGTGTGTTCTTCCTTATTCCCAAGATCATTAGGATTAAACTTGAAAGTTTGATGTGTTATCATTGGCAGGTTTCAAACCTGCACAGTCCAAGAGAAGCAGATTTTGACTCTGATGTTCACTTGCAATTTTATCTTTAGCAGGTTTTGAACCCACACAAACAGATTTGGATTCTGTCATATTAACTGCTTAGCTATAAGACCAGTTGGATGCACTCCCAATAAACCCATTCAGAAGTGAATCCTCAAGGTACATTTTGTCAGTTCTAACATTAATTTCTAACATCCTCCTTGAGTCCAATCATGTGTGATTCTTCCATTGTCAGTTGTCACTCATGACTCAGTTGTTAGTCCAAAAGACATCTCAAACATCACCGGCCCACTGTGGTGGTCTGCCATCAGCAATTTTTCAGAGCAATTGCTAGATAAACAGGCCTAAGAATCATTTGTGGTGATCATACTATTGAAAGAACTGCCTTGAGGATTCACTTATTAATGGGTCCATTGGAAGTGCATCTCACTGGTCTTAGCCAAGCAGTTGATATGATGGAATCTAAATCTATCTGCATGGGTTCAAAACCTGCTAAAGATGACATTGTCAAGTGATCACCAGAGTCAAAATCTGTTTCTCTTGAAATGCATGGGTTTGAAACCTGGCAATGATAAAATATATTTTCTATGAAAACACATCTTGACAATTGTCTCATGAGAAAACCTTGTCTCAACTGATGTTAGCCATGTCATTGCCACAATAGATTCAAAATCTGTTGAGTGATGCATTTTTTGTAACAGAACATGTCTTGAATATCTGCTTATAGACAGCATCTCAAACATTGATCTTCATTGGTCTTAGTCAAGTTGTCACCAGAGTCAAAATCTGTTTCTCTTGAACTGTGCAGGTTTGAAACCTACCAATGATAACATTTTTATTTTTATTCTATGAAATCACACCTTCACATTTCCCACATGAATCTTGAAATGAATCAGAAAGCCTCAATTTTCTGGTGGCATTATGAGGCTTTGGTGACAACTCAACTAAGACTGATAAAGATCAGTGTCTGAAAGACTGTCTACGATCTAATATTTAAGACATGTTCTAATAGAAAAAATGCAGCATTCAATGGGTTTCAAACTGCCAAGGTGCATTTTCATAAAATAAAAATGTTATTGTTGGTAGGTTTCAAACCTGCGCAGTCCAAGCAAAACACATTTTGACTCTGATGATCACTTGCGATTTTATCTTCAGCAGATTTTGAACCCACACAGACAGATTTAGATTCTGTCATATTAACTGCTCAGCTAAGACCAGTTGGATGCAGTCCTAATGAATTCATTCAGAAGTGAATCCTCAAGGTACATTTATCTGCATTTTGTCAGTTCTAACATTACATCATTGGCCCACCATGGTGGTCTGCCATTAGCACATTTTTGGAGCAATTGCTGGATAAATAGGTCTTGAAGTAGAGGAGGCCCAGAAGAAGTCTGATGTCTTTTTGCGATAAGAGTAGAATAAAAAAATCAATTGCGGCGACCATATTATTAAAAGAACTGACAGAATGCAGATAAATATGCCTTGAGGATTCACTTGTGAATGGGTCCATCGGGGGTGCATCTAACTGGTCTTAGTCGAGCAGTTAATACAACAGAATCTAAATCTGTCTGCATAGGTTCAAAACCTGCCAAAGATGACATTGTCAAGTGATCACCAGAGTCAAAATCTGTTTCTCTTGGACCATGCAGGTTTGAAACCTGCCACTTGTGACATTTGTTTTCTATGAAAACACACCTTGAAATATGCTGATGGTCGGTTTTCTTGCAAGCCAATCAAAGTTGTGTTTGGCCAAGTGGTTGTCATAACAGAATCAAAATCTGTTTCTATTGGAATGCAACAGGTTTGAAACCCGTTGAATGTCACATTTTTTTCTATGAGAACATGTCTTGAATGTTTGCTCATAGACAGTATCTCAGACATTGATCTTCATTGGTCTTAGTCAAGTTGTCACCAGAGTTAAAATCTGTGTCTCTTGGACTTTGCAGATTTGAAACCTGCTAATGATTATGTTTGTATTCTGTGCAATTACACTCTGATATTTTCTCATGGATAGTTTTCTCCAAAACCCATCATAAATGCTCTTTTCCACATCATTGCCACGATGGATTCAAAATATGTTTCAATCAAAGCACACATGTTTGCAATCAGTCAAATGATGCATTTCTTTTTAATGTTGCAACATGCTCAATTGAATATTTTCTCAGACTTTGATCTTCATTGTTGCTAGTTCAGGAGTTATCAAAGTCAAAATCTAATTTTCCTGGACTGAGCAGGTCAAAAACATGCATCACTCAACATATTTCAAGCATGCACAGTCCAAGTCCAAGAAAATTGTAATCTGTATAATGATGTGTATTGAAAGAACTGACAAAATGCAAATAAATGTGTCATGAGAATTCACTTTTGAATGAGTTCATTGGAAGTACATTCAACTAGTCTTAGCCAAGCAGTTAATGTAACAGAATCTAAATCTGTCTGTGTAGGTTCAAAACCTGCTAAAGATGATATTGCAAGTGATCAACAGACTCAAAATCTGTTTGTCTTGAACCATGACAGGTTTGAAACCTGTCAATGATAAATTTTA